AAAAAGATTAAAAAACCTATTTTTTAAGCAAGAATGTGAGACTTTTGGTTTTTATCTTTCTTACGTGGTATTTTATTAAAATGATATAGTTTTAAACTTTCTTTTACTAATTTTTAACGTTTAATTGATATTTATTTATCTTGATAAAAAATAGTATACTATAAGAATTATATCCACTAGTAAATAAGTATTATTTTATAAATTAAATCTATTATTTAAAGTTTTAAGGATAGCACTTAAGAAAAATTATTTTTCTTAAATACATCAAGCATATATCAGGGTATGTACTTAAAATTGTCTAATAAAAAATTAATTTTAAAGTATACAAAAGTTAACTCAAAGATATCTTAATAAGAAATACAAAAAATTAAATCTCAATAAAAAAATAATTTTAACATTACTGAATATTCCCCAGTATTACTGTAGTTATTTTTGTAGATTAAGAATTTGGAAAAACTATGCACATATATTACTCTTGAAAAATAAATAAAGATAAAATAAAATAAAATTTTTTATGATATGATAAATAATTAATTTTTTTATAAAATAAATAATTAAAATTAAGAAATAAAAATAAATTTTAATAAAAAATATTTGTTTTTCTTAAAAATGATCATTAATTAATTTAAAACAAATTTAAAATTAAAAAATAACATTTAATTTAAAAATAAGGGTATTTAATACCCCAAATTAATTAGTTTATTTGTTACGTACAAATTTTTAAAACTAAAAATTAATTTAATTTATGTTTATTTTAATAATTTAAATTTTTTATAAAATACAAATTTCATTAATATAACTAATAATAAATTTTAATATTGTAATAAAAACGAAAAATACCTTTAGAAAGTTTTTTAGAGGCATAGTTCGTTTCTCGACGAGCAAGGCAAAACCCTATATATACATGTCGTAATTTTGGGTTTCACTCCACCACGCTCAGGGTCAGGAAATGACTCATACTTCGAGTATGATCCACATTCGAATGCGATTTTTACCCTACTCATGCAACACTTGTTAAGATTTTTATAATTAATTTAGTATCCAAATGAATAAATCAAAAAGAAAATTGAAAGAGAAATTTTTTTTACATTTATTTTTTATTTATAAAATTTAAATTTAAAACTTTATTTAAAAAATTTTAATTCTTTACACTCAAAACAATTGTTTATAAAAAGAATATATTCAAAATTATTTTAAGCTCAATCATATTTAAAACAATTTAGAAGGAAAGCACTCCAATTTAAAAATTTTAGAGCGGTTTTTAAAAAGGAAATATAATAATTATTTACAATATCATATCCTAATTTCTCTTCCCTTTTATTAAATCCATCTGTCATAAAAGCAAAAGAGTGCAACTTGCATTCAGCTCTTGATTTTTCAGTATCATATTAAATTCAACCCCTGAATTTTCGGGATCATATTAAATCCGAGAAATTTTAACTCCACCCAATCAAATCTCAAAAAAATTGATCCAATCTAGTCCACCGGTAGCCACCACCCAATCTTTGTCGCCGCCAAAACAATCAGGACCTTTGCCAGCTGTCGCACTCCCTCCAAGCCAACAACACATCACGCAGCCTCCACATACCGCCACACCACTTACCTCCGATTCCTCCACGCCAAGCCCTACCAAAGCCCCCCACGTCCGCTGTTCTTCTGCCCCTACTAGTCCCCTTTCTCGCCCCTCTCCCCCACCACCAAGCCCTACCAGATTCCCACCATGTTTGCTGTTCGTCCGCCTATAATAGTCCCTTTCTCGCCTCTCTCCCCCACCACCAACCAATCTAGTCCATGGTGCGCCTTCCACCACCCTAGCCATCCCAAACCAAACACCAACCCCCACACTCCAACCGACCGCCCTCCAGCCAACAGCGCCTCTGCCTCCTCCACTAGTACCCCCATGTTCTCAACCGGACAGAGTTCAAATCCCCCAGTTTCCTCAACCCCTCCTCCAATTAATCACCATAGCGATGTCCCAAAGAACTAGAAAAAAGGAAATCAGAAAACAAAACACAAAAAAAGCACGAACAATTGCCGGATAATAACTTGCCATATATGGCTAAAACCTTAGCTGAGAGAAAAAGAGTGTTATTTCATCTCCAAACTTTATTTGAGAAATAATGTAATAATTTAATTTAATGGACTATAAGTAAATCAAAATTAAAAGACAAAATTATGACGTAAAAAATTACTCCCCCAAAGATTTTTTCAGTGCTCCTAATATTCCTTGAACTTTTATAATAATAAATCAATGATCATCCAAAAAAATTATTTATCTTCTTGAATTTTGTACGTAAAACTATACAATAAGAAGCACATATATATTTTTTTCATTGCTATTTATTATACTGTATTAAGTCAAACTACATAAAAAAATCATATAAAAACAATCAAAATGAAAACGGGAGTACCACTTTTCCTCCAAGATCAATTAAAAAGTATAGATCTGATACTTTAATTTTATGTACTCTAAGATCATTGACTATGGTTAAGGGCATGGAGGGTTGCATGTTTAAGGCTTATGTTTGAATATTTTCAAGACAGACAAAAGAGCTATAATAATTAATTACCAATGAACTGTAACAGATTTAAAAAAAGGTTATGGGCAAAAATAAAATACTACCACTGGAAAAAGGGTAATATAAATGCATGTGCAGTCGTGCAGGCAGATGTGCTTTTATTTCCATCGCATTCAAACATGCACTCCCACATTTGGTATTTTCCTCCACCTATTACCTGCATTTATGTTCCCCTAAGGACTCCACATATCCAGGCTGTGCTCAGTGGTCCTTACCCTAACCCATGTTTTGGATGTCCAACCAAAGCAGCTATAGTTACTCGGCCTAAAAAGTCTAACAACAGACCTAAAAGAAAAAGACTAGAAGATAACATACAGTATTACAATTTGTCGACAGTTTTTTGTTTTATGTGCCACTTTTTATAAAGTAAAAATAAATTAATCACAATTAGTAGTTCCAGAATCTTTTGTCACCCGATTTAGTAATTATAAGTCTTTTGTAATGACTTTTAATAAGTCATAGTCTTTGTCAACGTCATCGGAAAGAAATTTAACATGCAGGGGACCGATATTCATATAAATAACTCTTCTTTTATGTTATAAATTAGTTTATTCTTGCGCACTTGGCTCTTAGGCCCAAGCGGTTTTAGGGCTGTCTTGCAGTGCATTTCTCTCCTTCTTTATGGTGGGTCTGATATCCATCCTTATAAATTTGATAAAAAAAAAAAAGTTTATTCTTGCATTCGGCCCTTTGGGCCAAGTGGTCTCCAATCACCTGATGCATTCCCTCACTCCCTTGGTAGGGTTCAACTCTGCCCCATGTAATATTGTTCAAAAAAAAAAATATTAGTTTATTCTTATTGCACCTGGGCCTCTAGGTCCATTGGCATTAGTCAGATTGATGGTGCACTGCTCCCCTCCCTTAGGTGGGTTTAAAACCCACCCCTTGCCAAAATGATAAAAAAAAAAAAGTTTATTATTATTATGAATATTTCATCTTCTTTATCCTCTTCCTCCTCACTTCTTATGATATATATTTACTCACCAAGTAATAACAATTACATGGTGGTTACTTGTAATGCCTCAATTAATAAAAGATTAATTTTTATAACCTCTTATTTAGTGAGTATTTATTTGTTATAACTCCTATTATCTATTAATCATATATATATAGGGGATGTATTTTTGTAGATGTATGGAGGAGAAATGAAGAAAAAATGAATAAAAATATAATAAATCTTTGTATTGCCTTACTTTATCTCTTTAATTTTTTTTAATTGGTTCTTTCTTTATTTTACAAAAAATTTTAGAAGTTTTACCCTCTTCACACTCCCCCTACTTTACCATACATTTATATGTATAATAATATAACAATGAGTAACTCCTTTAATATTAAGTTATTATTATTTAGTGGT